GAGGCAGATGAACGTAGTGAGTTGGTAAGGGATGCTTTCCTGAGGGACTTGCAGACAGAAGTGTGGTCTTGGGTGGGCACTAGACAGGTAGATTACACTGTTACTCTACAGACTCAGGGCTTATATACCATGTGAAAGCTCCTCCAGCAAGACAAAGGCAGAACAGACAAGAAGGTTATGTGGGTCATAGCCCTAATTTGTGTAAAAACATCAAGGTTAACATGTTCTTATACTAAGGAACAGTAAATAAAGTGGGAGTTGGGAAGCATTCACCAGGGGTCTGGGGCGAATGAGAAATCAGCATGGTGGATTTGCATTCATGATTGAGCCACTTTGTCTCCAGACACCCCCGGGTCCACATATGCCTCACAGGAACATTTGTTATGAAGCTTCTTTTTCCTCCCTAGGTTTAATCTAAATGATGTTACTGGTAGAAAGGTTCTGCAGATGTTCTGGAGAAGGTCCAGATGGCAAAGTTCCTTTTATCACAAGAACTATATTGTGAAGGAATGTTAGCATACCCCTTGTCAAGACCATGAATGTATACTGTTGCTCACTCCAAGTCAATATGAACTATTTCTAATCATCCTTTCTGATAAACTCACCAGATAAATAACTACATCATGAGTGTAGCAGTAGCCTAGCAGCCAAGATTAGGGGGCCAAAGTATGCGCTGAGAAAAAATTCAGGGAATAGTTTAACTAGAATTATTTCAGCTTTGGGTGTTGACAGTGAAGTAGGATGCTTTTTCCCTGAGTTGTCCTGGGGAGAGGATTCTCCATCTCTGGTTTACAAGACCAGAGTATTGGATTATACTACAAGGGCATTAAATTTAAGTAGTTTTTTTCTTTTCTTTTTTTTTTGAGGCGGAGTTTCACTCTTGTTGCCCAGGCTGGAGTATGCAATAGCACGATCTATTTACCACAAACTTCCACCTCCTGAGTTCAAGCAATTCTCCTGCCTCAGCTTCCTATGTAGCTGGGATTTCGGGCATGTGCCACCACACCTAGCTAATTTTGTATTTTTGTAGCGAAGGGGTTTTACCATGTTGTTCACGCTGGTCTCAAACTCCCGACCTTAGGTGATCCGCCCACCTTGGCCTCCCAAAGTGCTGGGATTACAGGCATGAGCCACTGCGCCCGGCCTAAGCAGCTTATTTTTAATTAGGATAGTGAGAGGTATAAGGGTGAGGCTACTTAGTTAAGTTCCCAGTAGTCCATTGTCATCTGCCATGGTCCAACTGATTTTTGCAGGTTCCAGACTAGCAAATTAAATAGGCACATGACGGAGATCACACTATTCCAGAATCCTTTACTGGCACACATACTTTGAGAGTGTGCCAATCTAGAAATCTATTTAAGGATGGATGGATTTCCAGGGCTAAAGATGGATAAATTTCCTGGGCTATCTCTAGCACAAATATTTTATTTTGGGTTCTTCTAAAAGTAGATAGTTAGATAAGGATTTAGGTTGTGGTAGAATGAACAGTTGCTTTTAAATGGAGTGTTAAATTGTACATAATTGTATTCTGTATTTAAATATTTGATGGTATACATGCTAATAATCAGTTTTTTATATTACTTTTAATGGCAAACAATTAGTTATTTATACCTCTTTTAATGGCAAAAACTGCAGTTACTGTTGCAGCAACTTAATATTTCTTCTTGTACAGACTACATGAAAAAATAAATTCCAGATGAATTAAAAAGTAAATCTAAAAACACAAAATTATAAATATATCTAGAATATAAGGTAGGTAATCATTGAACTGATATCAGGTTGATTAAGGGAATTCTATGCCCAAAATTGCTGGAAGAGTTAGTAATTCAGTAATTAAATTTAATCAATTCATTAACAACATTTATAATTAATACTTTTAATAATAACCATAAACTATAGTAAATTATAACAAAAATAATTTTTTCATGCATAAAAATTACCAAAGTTAAAAGTAAATGACAAACTGGAAAAATATCTGCAATTAATCTGACACGCAGTGAGTTAATATACATCATATAAAAGGAACTATTAACTTTGATAAGAAAATGAATAGTTCCTGATAGAAAAACAGCCAAACGATAAGAGTGGGTAGTTTGTGAAGGAACAGTAAAAATGGTACATAAAGATGAAAAAAGTATTCAACCAGGAAATGCAAATTAAAACAATAAGAAAGTTTCAGTTAATCATTTCAGACTGAACACATAGATGCCCTTCTCAAATACCATTAAACAAGACACAAGGCCGGGCACAGTGCCTCATGCCTGTAATCCCAGCACTTTGGGAGGCCAAGGCAGGCAGATCACCCGATGTCGGGAGTTTGAGACCAGCCTGACCAACATGGAGAAAACCCATCTCTACTAAAAATACAAAATTAGCCAGGCGTGGTTTCACATGCCTGTAATCGCGGCTACTTGGGAGGTTGAGGCAGGAGAATCGCTTGAACCCAGGAGGTGGAGGTTGTGGTGAGCTGGAATCCTGCCATTGCACTTCAACCTGGGTAACAAGAGTAAATGAAGCTGTCTAAAAAAAAAAAAAAAAAAAAAAAAAAAAAGACACCAAAGGCATAAATGGAGAAAACAAAGGGAATGGCTGCAGAGACAGTAACAAATCAAAATGTCAACAAATCTTTACAGAATGGAACCAGATGGACAAGTGATAATCCACTTGAGCTGAGAAAGCTTATACCTTACCTTAGTCTGTAGGGAAAGCCAAAGAGAAAAAGATCAGTTCCTGCCCTAGCTCCCTGAAGATGCTCAGCTGTTGGAGGCATCAGGTATCTCTGAAGGCAGGGGTGAAAGAAGGGTTGATGGAAGACAGATTGCAACCTAATGTTGCTATTGCAGTGCAAGCAAATTGGAACATCTCTGTATTCTAGGGTTTCTTTGTTATGTCTCTCCATTCTAAATTGAGCCTTGCTCCTTTGTAGAGTAGTAAATAGTAGTGGTTCCTTCATTTATTCACATCAAAACTTCCAAAATATTTTCATATATATCGTTGCAATTGAGTCAATTAAAAAAAATCTGTTTTGAAGACTGAATCCTTGTTTTGAAGACAGAATCCACACACATTATGGCCATGATAAGGCTACGGCAGCTATATTCTTGGCATTACTTGAATGTACATCACAGAATGCCTCTTCAGGTGGAAGTTTCTGAGTAATAATTCTGATAATCAACTTAGAAAAATATTGTGTCAGTTCTCTGAAATATATTGTGGAAAACAAATCCAGAATGTATTAAATGCATGCATATTAAGCATTCCTTATGTCTACAACAGAATACAACCAGGCAAACAAATTTAAGACTTAACTCTTGTTAAAAGCTTAGATGCTTCCAATTCTGTTAGGCTGAAGACGAGTTTCCTTAGTGTGACCTCTAAGACAGCATTGCTTGGTTGCTTTATACATTTCACCTCTTACCATTCTTACCTTTGCTTTCAGGGCTGTAATCACTTGAACCTGCTTTCAGGTCTTATTTGCATTTCAGTTCTCAGATGAGTGTGCTGGGTCCCTCAGAAAAGTTTTTTACTCCCTACTTCTATTTTCCCACCTTCTGCTCATTGGTCTTATTTAGCTCAAGCTCTACCTCTTCCAGCAAGCCTTCTAAACTTGATTAGGTTTGTCATACACACTCCTCATAGCTTTTTCCTTTCCTCAGGAATTTTCCTCAGTTGGAAACTACACATTCATTGGTATGATTGTTGAATGTCTTTCTCTGAGCCCAGAATGCGAACTCCATGATTTTGCTCACTGTGTTATGTCCATTGCTTAATGCAGTGGCTGGAACATGGGTGGCATTCAATACAACTTGAAAAAAAAGAATGTTTTCAGGGAGTTTATCCTTTTCTTAGTAGTTGCATCAAAGAATAGTTTATTTGCTACCAAAGTTTGACTTATTTAAAAAATTCTGTGTTGACTTTTAGCTTACAGATATTTAGTTTTGTTTGTGGGCAGAGAAAGATGGGGATTTGGGGATTATATTTAGAGTAGGTGCTGCTGTAACTGATGATAATATATCTTGCTGGTATAAATTGTATATATTCAGTTCAAAATAAATTCTATTAAGTGAAGAATTCCTTGACCATTCTGGAATATTGATTGTAATTACTAGTTAGCATCTATCTGATTCACATACCAACAGATACTCTGTTAACATTGAAGAATTCCCTATAAATTCTGGGTTTTATAAAAGACCGTGAAATAATTCAATAGAGAAGAACCGAATCCACACGAAAGATTAAAAACCAGTTGTAATTTACCAAGCAGTCCATTTAAGCCTAACTATATATTCGGCACACTGGAAAAGATACACAGCAGGATTCCTTTGTTAGTAACTTCCAGTCTCTCCTGCTATGGTGCTTATGGAACTGTCTCTCCTGGTTGAGCGTTCAGATTATTTTCTTCCTTCTTAACCCAAAGTCTGTACTCCACTGACTTCCTTTATTTTCCACAGTGATTCATGCCTTACCAGGTTCAGTTAGAACAATCACTTAAAAAAAGTCCTTGTTGCCGATAGCAGAGAGCTCCTAGTCTGTTTGAAAGTGTGCGGAGTTCAGGCTTTAATTACAGAAACTGCCCGACTTTCCCCACCATTGTGTCTACTGGCCCAGTTCCATCTACTGCTGAAACTTCTAATGTGAGTTCTCTGAAAAGCCTGGCACTCTCCCCAGCTATGGGGAGTGGCTGGTCTCTGCATTCAGCTACTTCTTTCTGCAAAGTTCTGCCTGCATTATTCCTTTCCATCCTGAGTGTCTGTCTCTCACTGGGCAGACTCTGCTTCTGATGTGGCAGTGGGGGAGTTGCTTGCCTCTGACTTTTGAAAGAGAGGTACAATTTGCAGACTGATGCTAACTGGGAATATTCACTGCGTATCATTATCAAACATCACCTTGGCCACCCTTGCCTGGTGTTTTACCATAATTGTTTCGAGCTCACTCATACGTCATCTATGTTAGAAAATCATCTCCCTCTTGTATAGCCTTGGGAAAGCAAGTCCAAACTATCAATTAAAGTAATTTATTTTTATTACCAACTTTAATCACCAAAGAAAGAATTGGATTCAATCAGGGAAATTCTTTATTAACAAAATTTTATTGATAAAATAATCTATCAAAGATTCATGAAAAAAATTAAAAATCTCTGAAAAAGAAAATTATATCAACCAAGATAGTAAAAAGTATGTCTGTGGGTAAGGAAGAGTTTTCTATTTGGGGCTGGCCATGTAAGCTACATCAGTAATACCAAGGATTTCACTTCTGAAAAAGAAACTAGGATGCAGAACTGCAACCTACAAGAAAGGCTACTGTACAACAAACATCATGTGGCTGGAGGTGACTCCATCCCCTGCCCAGTCTTGTTCGCTCTGGTACCTATTCTAACATCTTAATTTGGTTCCCAACTTGGATGTGTCTATTCCCCTTTCTCAGCTACCATGACCTGGAGATCATCTTGTTTCAATGCTTGGTCTGTCATTTCAGCAACAGCTTTTCTTCTTGGCTTCGGCCTGCTCTTCGCTGGGTCCTTTGGCTCAGTGCCTTTGACCTTGGGTGGCGGGTACTCTGAGTCTCTCTGGCTCCCTTCCCATAGCAAGTGGTGGTTGTAAGCCATAATATAAGACACTGTTTTAAATTGTTAATCTTTTTTAGATATTAAAATTAACTTTTGATATTATTGCCAAAGGAAAAAGTCTGGGAATTTCTCAGTTCACTGAATTGGTGCATCAAGTTGAGCATTCTGACATATAGCAAGAAGGAAATTGTGAATGATTTTCCATTCCATTTGAAAATATTTTGGAAACTGATATAAATAATGAATCAAGTTTTTCTTATAATTTGCCTTCCTTGCTCTGGGAAGCTGAGGAATGAATTGTAGTTGAAATTTTCTACTTTAGGCTTAGGGCCTTATTGCAAAGCTTCTCAGATGCCAATTCTAACAGATCTTTTGTACATAGTCATCATTTTATTCACTCAGGATAACTTTCATAGCAACTTTATGTTATTCCTGGAGATACATGCTAATATGGCCTTAGTTTTGGATAAGCATGTGTATTCTAAGTTGAAAGACCACACTTTGTTTAAAGAATTGCTGGATATCGATATCATGGCTCCGTGGGCACTCTAAGCTTCCACACAGGACTGAAAGAGTTAGGGTTTTAGCCTGGGATATATTAGGGACTGGTCCAGTGAGAATCAATTCAAATTGGATCAGCCAATCAGAATGCATATGAAATAATCAGAAATGGAAGGCCAGGCTAGGCTTGGACAAGTAGATAAGATAGGAAAAATGGTTTCATTCCTCATTGTGTGAATGTTTGTGTGTTTGTGTGTATGTAAGGGGAACATATGAGATTTTAAAGCCAGAAATACATCTTATCATAGGTCTGTTAAACAGACAGGGAGTCAACAATTCAAAAATCAGAGGTGCAAGAGTCAGGTTGGCCTCAGGGATAACTGCTAAATGAAGAAACGTGTCACCGAATCCTTGCTTTAAATGAGTGTCTAGGAATCTCCCTTGGTGGCCCAACTATCACAGGTCAGGCAGTCAGGGATGGCTTGCATTTTGTTTAATGGGGTCAGTGTCTCCTTTAACCAATCTTCTTGCTCTATTTTCAGAAGTATGCTCTTTCCTGGAATGGCTGGTGACTCCCCTGACAGCCAGAAAGAGCCAAGATGATTTCCTGAACCACTGCAGTCTGGCTAGTTCTCTGGAGTCAAGAATGGGTTCTCTGGGGACAATCGTGCATCAAGAGGACTGGCTGGTATCCAAGTCCAGTGGTATGTTAATGGTGGAATGTCTCTATGGCAGTAGGGCCCCAGTTTTGGTCCTCTGGATTACATCCTTGTCATTCTGTGAGGTATCAGAATTCCCATCTGAAACTAGATATCCAGGAAGGCATGCACTTCATCTTTTTTGTACCATTCACTTGTGTGGGGGTGGGAGGTAGGAACAGGGTGGGCAAGAGTACATCCTTCAGGTGAATTGTGGTATTGTATTTGGTAGGGAGGACAAAGAACCCATGGAAATGGAGTGATTAAAAGTAACAAAGTTTACAAAGTGCTTTCACATACATTTCACTTGATTCTCACAACAACCCTGTGAGGTAGGTACAGTATATAACGTTTTTACTTTTATTTTGCAAAGAATGACACCAAAGACCAGAAAGTTTAGGTGATTTGCCCACAGTCACGATAAGCACCAGGACCCAAACTTGAAGCCATGTCTTCTGACTTTACAGCCTAATTTTTACCCATGAACAGCTACAACTTGAGGGTTATCAGTTTGATGACATAACAAGGAAGGCGTTCAGTAAGTGAACATCTAACTTGTTTAAAAGTCAGATGATTTAGAAATAATACATAAGTAACCAGAATTCATGGGATCAGTACTTGTAGGGGCTCCCCCTGGATTGCTGCTTGTTGGCTTTAATCTCGTGGGTTGCTTTGGCATAATAGAAGATCACCTTGGGCAACTGGGATCTCCCTGGGTGCTTAAGAAACAAAGATGAGGGAATTCTTGTGGCCATGATGAGCCTCATCATGCTGTTTAATCATCTGGATTCCCCATCGGAATGCAGACTTCTTAGGAAAAGGATTCTAACTGATTCATCATTGTATTCCCAAAATGTAATACAGTGCTCGGCACATCGTGGTCCTCGATAAAAACTGACTGAGTTCATGAGGGGCTGGGATGTTTCATATGATGCTTCCCTATTTTACTTGTAAAATATGTTTTGCATTGAAGAGGTATTATAAATGAATGTGAAATTGGGTAAAGGAAAACATAGTTATCTGAGTGGTGGGCAGTATATACAGGCACTGCAATTCCAGGGTGTAATCCTGTGATCCGAGTCATCTTTGTTTACAATGATACAAGTACTAAGTGTGGATTCAAACTGGAGGCTTTATATTAACCAGAAATCTATGCAAAATGTAGACGTTTGATGGCCATTGGGGATAAAGGTAATGTCCCTTGGTGTGGAGGAAACTAGACCATTTTGGTAAGTATGAAAATAACATTGTTTTAGAAATATGGAGATAATTCTGTGATAAAAGCCTCCAAAGATGTTTAACCACTATCATCAGTGATTCAATAAGAGTTGTAAGAGGCCTCTGTCTTTTTCTGGTTAAGTTCTGCCAAGGCACATCCTCCTTGGTCCTTCAGGTCTCCCTGGATCTTTGACCATGAGAAGTCCCAAGACCCAGAGTTTAAAATCGTGCACAGATAGAAGCTGAGGACAAAGCTACTGTGGTACAGATTTGGACTTCAGTGTGAGTGCTTGTGATCAGGACACCTAGGCAAGAAGCCCACTGCATAGAAGCATCCTTCTAAGGCTAATGGGCTGGTGCAGGCAAGACCCATGACCTGTGGTTGAAAGCAGCAGTCCTGTTGTTACTCTTTTATGAGTGGATTACAGCAAGGAATTTCTGTGTGTCACAACCTGGTGAGGTCAGCTTCCTTGAACTGGATAGAAGTTTTAAATTTGGGAGATGCAATATTAGCTCACCAGTTTTGAGTACAGGATCTAATGGGTCCTGAAATCAGTAAGGTGGGAAACAGATCAGCAGCTCTTGGGCTGGTAGAGGTTATGGGTCATCCAGGGGTCCTCCCATTTGTGATGATTGATGCAGCGCATGACCGGATGCCTGGCTTCTCCAGGTATTGCTGCCAAGTTTCAAACATGGTCTTAATGGCCAAGCATTCCTTCTTTCAGCTATTGTAGTTTCATTCTGCAGGGATGATGCCTATGGGGAAATAAAGCATAAGGTCACATCAAGGTTGAGTTTAGACAAAGTTTGGCTGTTTATGGTTCTATCACTACTTTTAAGACATTGGCTCCACCTTAAATGTCCACCATAAACAAAGTGGAGCATAATGACAGCTGATGCCTACCTCCCTCCCTCCCAGGTAGGGCTTCACAGGTTTTCTGGACCCCAGGCAACCATAAAAAAGCAGAGCATATTAGCTGCTGGTTCAATAGAACCTGTTTCAGGAAGGGATCTGGGGTTAACCCAGGTCTGGATTAGGATACTTTGGTAGTTTAGACTGGATAAGTCCTTCGATATCTTCACCAGAAATTAAAGTCAGTATTGCTCTCACCTGGAGAGTCAACAGAGAATGCTACCAAAGTTGGTGTCGATATACAGTCACAAATAAAATCCTGAAGTCTGTTTCCTTAGATCTTGAATCTTACATCTTGACTTTTAGTTATTGGTTCCAGACTATGCATAAACTTAAAACACTAATGATTAATAATAAATATATAAACTGTACTATGTTTATAATTACTAATTAAATTTGATTTTGTCAAATGCATTTTAGCCTACCCATATGAATGTATGCTCTTTTTTTCCCTTTTTTCAGACTCTCACTCTGTTGCCTAGACTGGAGTGCAATGGTGAAATCTCAGCTCACTGCAACCTCTGCCTCTGGGGTTCAAGCAATTCTGTCTCAGCTTCCTGAGTAGCTGGGATTACAGGTGCATGCCACCACGCCCAGCTAATTTTTGTATTTTTAGTAGAGATAGGGTTTTACCCTATTGGCAGGCTAGCCTCGAATTCTAGACCTCAGATGATCCACCTGCCTTGGTCTCCCAAAGTGCTGGGATTACAGGCATGAGCCACTGCACCTGACCGAATATATGCTCTTAAATAAGAAAATTCCCTTTTTCTTGAAATGTAAGGAGTAGATGGCATATTTCAGCCATTATATAATACAACTGAAAACTATAAATAAACAGCAAGAGCCTGAATGTGGACACAAACTGTGAATCTTAACTTAGGCCTGCCGCGGAAGGGTTCAGTGTGATCCTTACCTCTATGTCCTTGTTAGGAGAACTTGTGCCTACGTTTCATGTTTATGAAAATCTTTGCTAATGTTATAGGATTTAGAGAAGATGGATGTTTCTAATTGTGTTAGTGGACTGACAGCACTTACCAGTTAATTGAATCAACCAACCAGTTATTTCAGCAAATAATTGGACTGAGCTAAGTGTAGAAATCAGTTCTAAAACCTTGGAAGACACCAGAATTCCCAAAGCAAGTTCTGTGAACACTAATTTCAAGAATGGTTTTCTCATTGGGTACATTTGGGAAACACTACATTTTATCAACTTCTCTTGAAGACTTAATTACACAAGTCTTAAAGGGTTTGAGAAGTCCAGTACTAAATAATTTATTTAATTATGTTTAAGTAAATATGTCCCAAACATTTCAACATGAACTTAAGTTTTTGAGTAATGTTTATTAGCATCTTTAGAACTGTGCTACATAAAACCAGTTTTAGGGAATTTTAGACTAGCATGCAGTGTGAAGAAATACTTATTTGCAAAATTTACACATTATCAAAAATAAATTAAGCAATTACTAATTATGTATTACTGTAATTGTGTTAAAATTAAGCTAGGTACTTTGGAAAATAGAAAATGCACTTGTATACAACATAAAGTCTGCCCTTAATAGGCTCATAATCTGGTTGGGAGATATATCTATCATACATGAAACAATATCAGTCACCTAAAGATTGCAAATAACCAAGTGCTAAGCTAAATAATTAAGACTAACAGATACAGTAGTTCCAGAGAGGAAGATAAAGTATTAGAATAATGAAAAAAGAAATCATGGAGGAGGTAGGACTGGTTTTATGGCGTGGCTAGGCTTTTGAAAGGTTGAGGGGAGTTTCACTTGAGGGGACCTATGACTCCAAGAAACAGGAAGTTGTGCAGCAAACAACTCTCTGCTGTATTAAAATCATTAAATTCTAATATATCTTAAGCACTTCTTACCCAAGAACAGAATGTTACAGTAGTATGGTTCTCTTTCATTTGTCCCATACAGTCATACCATGCATAAGGATGTTTTGGTTAATGACAGACTGCATATATAATGGTGGTCTCATAAAATTATAACACCATATTTTTACTGTACTGTTCCTATGTTTAGACATGTGGAGATATACAAATACTTACCACTGTGTCACAGTTCCCTGTAGTATCCTGTACAGCGGCATGCTGTACTGGTTTGTAGCTTGGAGTAATAGGCTGTATTATATAACCTAGGCGTGTAGTAGGGTATACCATCTAGGATTATGTGATGTTCACATCTTGACAAAATCACCTAATGATGCATTTTTTCTGAATGCATCCCCATTCCTAATTAACACATGGCTATTCTTCTATTAGAGTTCTTACCTGGTGTATTATAATGAGTTGTTTAATTGTCTGTGATAGTCTAATTGATGGTAGGGACAATTTTTAATTTAGTTTTTCATCCTATTTTTAGATCCTAAGGAACACCATGACGTTCAGGGGCTGCATGGTAGACAACACTGACCTTAGGACTGGCTTGTAATACTTGCAAAGTGAAGGACCCTCAGGGTTCTGAGGGTCACACAAAGGGTATGCTGTGCTTTTCTTCCTTTTCTCCCTAACTTTGAAAATATAGGAACTGTACAGCCAGGAAACGCCACACACCTGGGGACTGGATGCAGTGTGATGATGGTTGTAGATTTTTACATTTTTGTTTTTACTCTTTAGGAAAGTCTTTTGACTGCTTTTTCAATTGTTGCAGTCACACTTTGCAGTGGCCTAAATGCTAATAAGAAAAAGGTAAGCAATTTTAAAAAAGGAACCACATAAAATCATGTGGTAAATTTTTGTGGTTTATTTGAAAAAGGTGTGGTTTTGAAGGGAGAAAAAACTTGGACCACAACTAGCGACATTCAGAACTGGTACTCCTGCTTAATTTTTCTTTATTGATTCTACTTTTTTCTCTCTTTGTCTTTCTCTCAAGACAGGTTTTAGGATAATTGCTTATATAAATAATACTGAAATGATATAATTTTATTTGATAATTACTGACATGCTACAGTATCAGAGTTGAGTGTGATTGCCCTCACATTATAAATTATTTGAAAATTTTAATTCTTTTATTTGCTTAAGAAAATGGAAGAAAACCAAAACAGAGGAAAAGTCTGTAAATGAGTTTAAAGATCACTGTAGTCCTTTCAGGCTACAAAATTCCACTGCATGTATACAGGATGTAGGGATTCTACCTTTCATTTTAGACTGCTGGCCAACTGAAACACTTTATACGTTCAAACAGGTCATTGGAGCAGAGCCTGGCCTAGTCTACTAAGAAAATTTGATGCACTCACCTAAATGTGCTTATGACCTTTTGCACAGGGGTTTATCAACTAGAATATACTTTAAAACAGGACGTGGGGTCAGAATTTGGGGGTCTTACTTTCAAAGATGGAATGAGCATAGACTCAGAAAATATTTCCGTTATTCCTTTAGTTATTTGGACCCTTGACATGTAATTATGGTTTTTATTTATCATGGAGGATTTATCTTGTTGCAGAAATTTTGACTATGAGTTTTTGCCCTGAAATATAAAACATGCATAAAACATTGCAAGTAGAAATGAAAAATCTCACATGCTTTAGGATAACAAGTACAGAAGGTGCAATATAGATACTTCAGTAAAGATGTTAAAGCAATGCACAATTTGAAGATTTTGATATAAACACTATAGAGGAGTTACACAAAAACCATGTTCAATATATTTACTTGGGACTTTAGTCATTTGTGTTGCAAAATGTTTTCTTTAATTCTTGTGAGGTACTAGTAACACCTCATGAAATCTGCTCCTTTTTATGTTCAATACATCTCTCTCTCTCTCTCTCTTTCTCTGTCACACACACACACACACACACACACACACACACACACACGCATGCACTCTCACATATAGAGTCAAAGTCAATGGCAGTGGGTGGTTTATGTCAGGGCTGGTTTTGACGCCCCCCTCACAGAATAAGATAAATGTAAGTGATGAAGAGCTCCTGGGGTTGGCTGAGCTCATTTTGTATTCAACACTTTGCCTGGCCTCTTTCTCATCTCTTTCTCCCTCTCTTTGTATGTTCAAGCCTACTTGAGTTTCTTTTTTCTTTTGTAGAACTTGGTTCTTTTGATGTGTTTCAGGGCACGCCCTGCGACAAAAAGAACTTCCCAGGAATCGGAAACATAAGCGCACAGGTCTGAAACAGCTACTGTACAATAGACAGAAAGCTTCAGGCCTTGATGCTGGATTTTCTGTCTCCCCCAAAAATATCAAAACATGCAGGAGGGGGAACACATGCAATAGATTCTACATACAGGATTTTAAAGGGATATATGCTGTATCGTTTAATTGCAGAGTATGGATTGGGTGAGATTTTTAATGTGGCTTGAGCCCCTCATAGTAATTTAACCTGAGATGTGACTATAGGCATTTGTATATTGATTCATTTAACCAAATTTTCCCTATAATTATAAATGAATTTGTTCCTGTTTTACTGCTAGTATGACATCAACGTATCTGAGATTTTCAATAGTGCATGGTCCTTAACTATCTTACTTCTCATCATTACTTTCCAATTAAAAACATGAGAAAGTGCAGTGCTTTAACTATTTACTTGTCTATGAAGTTGAAAGAAATGCTGCTGTAAGTATTGTAAAACCACTGTTAGAAGGCACTATCTATATTATTAATAGAAAGTCTACATAGAAAGGGGAGTTAATTATTTTATACCCAATATCAGTAAATCCACTTGTGTACATTAAAACATTTAATAAATGATGTTATATTTTATTTAAAAGTCTCTGTTTACTCACATATCATACTTTATGTGACAAATCATTCAGGACTATGTCATTGAATTAGAACTTGGAACTGAAAATACAAAAAGGAAAATAAGAAAAGTGCAGTTTGTTTACACGTATACAAACTTATTCATCTAAAACTTTCAAATTAAACTAAATTTTAAATAATAGTTAAATTTAATTTTTGCTCAGCTTTCTGAAATACACTTTTATTTTAAAAACTGAAACAATGGAAAATGAAACTTAACTAGAAATTTGGTAATTATCTAGTTTGCTTAATTGGTTTGGAAAATCAATCTATATAAATTAGATTAATTGCTTACTTTACAATTGAGTTCAGTCTCATGCACGTATATTGCCAAGCTTACTGAAAAAATAATTTGTTACTAGCTGAATAATAGATCAGGAAAAAAATAGAAATTTCACCAACAAACAATTGATTATTTTCAATTAAATTGATTCAGCTTAATAGGAGTATTAAGCACTAGTTATGTCTCTGTGCTAATGACATTACCTATTAACTGCTAGGAAAATATTAGCAGTAAGATTGAATTCACTCAGTGTTTTCCAGCATATTTTATACTTAGGTGCAAATAAGCCAGCTAATTGCCGCAATTCCTTTTAACTTTGGTGTGTATATTACAGCTTAAAAGAAAGAGAAAATTGATTCAATTATTCAAATATTGATTAAATACATGTTTTAGCAGTAATACTAATTTTAACAAACCGGGAATAATTATAAGATAAATTTTATCACTACAATGTCTCTTTTCTTCTATATATATCCAGGTTACTATTTATAAATACTTGTGCAAATATCTATGAACACCATAAAAACTTCTTTGATAATAGTGAAAGGGATTCACAATACTATCTGGAACATTTAATGGGGGCTTTATTAATTTAAATAAGAGCAAACTCTTTAATACAATACAAATACATGATTAGAAAAGAAGTATTTCTGTCTCTCTGATGCAACATAAACTAATCCTGTTTCTTTTCTCAGTGCTACCTACATATCTAGAAATTGGGTGTTTCCAAATTGTTTGATCCAAACTTTGATAAGATACATGTCAGACTTTGAAACACTTTTCAGCTTTGTGGCAGTGGCTGCCCACAAAGGGTCATATCATTTTCCCATCCTCATTTATGAATGTCAGTGAAAGCCACAGTTCTGAAGAAGCAATGCACAGAATCTCTCCGTTTACACAGAATTGCTGTGATTACACTACATCATGCTGATTGTCATATCACGTATTTTATTTGTGCTAGAAAACTTCTCTTGCCATGGTTACCATTGTTTCCTACCTCTTTCAGGTGAGGCGTTATTGCCAACCTATAAAATTACACAGGAATTAGGCATGTCAGGTATTAGACCAACTTCTACTCTACGTATTAACCCTAGCCCAGGAAAGACAGGCAATTTTATTTTAAAAAATATGCAACATTTAAGAGAAATTTAGCCTTTTAAATGTTTTGATGCATTATACATCTAGCGATGTTTTCATTTATTTGATTCATGAATAAAATAAAATTTCCTTAGTATCTCACTGAAAATTATTATAGTCATGTTTATAGAAATCAGTAAACAGACACCCATGAATTAATTCAAATATTTTTCTTTTTAAACAAAAACAAAACATAGCAATTTGATTAGAAATTAGTTGAGTGAATTCAGTTGGATTTTGAATTAAACTTTTAATTACATAAAGAACCAAAGGATATACTTGAGCTATCACATCTAGCTAAATCCTACTAATTAATTATCTTCATTGATTAAATATACCAGATAACCACACAGTCTCTGTTTCATTGATTGGAATTGTTCAATAATGTAATTATTCAAAATTTTAGTTATTAGCTAGCTTCCAAAAGTTTTATTTCTATTTATTTAAAAAAATCAATAGTCACTTGACTCAATTTAACACTTTCTGTTCTTCTCTTTTGATTCCCTCCCCTCAAATATGCTATGTAGATATAATCTGAAGATTTTTGTATTTAAAAAAAAAAAAAGGACGGGTGGACTGACTGCAGTTCTGTGGTTTCCCCTTGAGCATATGACCAAGTTTTAGAGACTTTAGGGATTACCTATTACAAATGTCTCATTTTACAAAGGAAGCATTCTTGGAGAGTTTTTGATTTTTGTCATTCAAATCTGGGAACATAGTAGGTCCTCAATAAATGTTGACTCAAGTAATCAATTTAGAGTCACACAATAAATACAATACCATGGTACTTAACACAGTGCATTGCAATGATTTATTTATAATAAGTTTTTGTAAATACAATTTTTAGCCACAATAATACTGAGACAAAAGTTATTAATAGATCCTATTAACTGCAGAAGGTATTTAACATTCAAGGTAACTGAGGTTGAGGATCTTTAAATGGTTCACCCAAGATCAGCCAGCTAAGCGGTGGAGGAGCTGAGATCGGAGCTATTTTCTGAGCCTCAGTGAGTAACTACTCTGCCATGCTGCCTATCCCCTGCTTTTTTCTCTGTATTGTTTTTCACCATTCTTGGAATGTAAAAGACAGAACTGGTGTTCCATATCTTTGTAAGCCTTGCTTGCTGCATAATAAGAGTACTCAACCAATGGTTGCCACATGAACAAACCCAGGGTTCTGGCTTCCCAGTCCAGTTCTCTTTCAGTCACACCATGTTCAATTCTGAGGGTGGAAGGTGGCATTTGAGAAGGCAGAGAAAGACCGAAATCCCTAAAGCATAGAACTGCTTCAAATGATTTAAACAGGTAAAGTTTATTCTGTGTTGTCAATAACACATAAGAGCAATTCTGCTTCTTAGATAAGAGCTAAAAAGGACAGATTTTTTTTTTGGCAGTTTCTGGATGCATCTGGTACATATGTATGTAATATGATGTGCATAAATGCATGGTCTACTCACTCACGTGGATTTATACATGACTTGGGAATCCAATCACAGTCAGCCATTCCCGAGGTTCACATTCACTTTTCCCACATGTGCCCTCCATCTGGGTTTGTGTCAAGACCCTCGGTTCCTAAACACAGTCATCTTGTCTAGGAGGCTCCTCAGGACATGAATCCACACTGGTTATCTAGTAAGATGCTTATTGTCCCAGGCTGAAGGAAGAGTCTCTTCAGGTCTTATGGCTTTGCTATTTCTGGTCATGTTTTGGAAATAAGATTATTTGGAAAGACTGTTCCCACACCACAGAGCCTCCCCTCCTCTCTGAGCTCCTGTGAGCTTTTCAAGTTTCCCTTTTATTGACAGCACCCTCTCTCAAACCCACTGACCCCTGCTCCTCTTTTTTTTTTTTTTTTTTTTGAGAAGAAATTTCATTCTTGTTGCCCAGGATGGAGTATAATGACACAATCTCGGCTCACTGCAACCTCTGCCTTCCAGGTTCAAGTGATTCTCCTGCCTCAGCCTCCCAAGTAGCTGGAATTACAGATTCAGGGCACTATGCCAGGCTAATTTGTGTATTTTTAGTAGAGATAGGGTTTTGTCATATGGGCCAGGCTGGTCTTGAACTCCTGACCTCAGGTGATCCACCTGTCTCAGCCTCCCAAACAGCTGGGATTATAGGCATGAGCCACCGCGCCCAGCCTCCTTAGTCCTCTTTTTTTTTTTTTTTTTTTTTTTTCATTCTAGGAAAAATTTTTCTACTTCTTCTCTCTTAATGTCTTTCAAATGACTCTCTGGTATCTCTGCCTCTCTAGAGCTAACATTATCTCTGTGATTAAGTTTTTACCAAAGACAGGAAAAGTAGCTGACAACTTTACTTTCCCCTCTGCAAAACCTCCCAGGTAGAGAGACACACAGGGCCTTGACTCTGAGCTTGGAGGAGGGGAGGAAAGGAGGAGAAAATGCTGAAGTAGAACACTGATATTTTAAAATTATCCTACCACAAATTCTTTTTGAGTAAATGCATGAGTGGTTCTGACATCAGCCACCATCATGATAAAATTATAATTGCAAATTTGCAGGGACCTTCCTTGGTATCTTTCTAAGAGCAAATCACTTCAGTATCTCTCCATTAACAGCTATGGAGACACATTTTTCCGCAGAGCCTCTAGAGAGGCAGCTCACAGTTATAAGCTCAAGCACATCACAGGTTCTCTGTCCTGCAGGAACTCATTTGAGCTTCTAGAAAAAGAAGTTTTATTTAAAATCATGCATTCAAAATAGGAATTTCCTTATAAAACCTCAAAAAAATAGCATCTATTTTGACATGTAAGTGAAATTTTAACAGTATCACAGTAATACAGTCATGTGTCACATGACATTTTGGTCAATGATGGACTGCATATACAATGGTGGTCTGTAAGAGCATAATCCCATGTTTTTGCTGTGGCTTTTTTATGTTTAGATTCACAAATGCTTGCCATTGTGTCAACATGCAATCAGTAACATGCTGTACAGGCTTGTAGCCTAGGAGTAATCAGCTATAGCATACAGCCTAGGTGTGTAGTAGGCTATATAATCTAGGTTTGGGTAAGTACACCCCACGATGTTTGCACAACTGTGAAATGACCTAACAACGCATTTCTCGGAAAGTACCCTGTTGTTAAATGATGCATAACTGTACATTAAATTGAATAGCTAAACACTCTTTGGAAGTACATTCCTATGACTGGCTGGGTGTGGGGGCTGACTTGATCCCAGCACGTTGGGAGGCCGAGGCAGGTGGATCACTTGAGGTCAGCCATTTGAGATCAGCCTGGCCAACATGGTAAAAGGCATCTTTTTAAATTTTACTAAAATTAAAAAAAAAAAATGACCAGGTGTGATGGTGCATGCCTGTAATCCCAGCTACTTGGGAGGCTGAGGCAGGAGAATCACTTGAACCTAGGAAGCAGAGGTTGCAGTGAGCTGAGACAACACCATTGCACTCCAGCCTGGGAGACAGAGCAAGACTCTGTCTCAACAAACAGAAAAAGAAGTACATTCCCACGACTGGTTCGTTCTGTGCCCTGTAATCTCAGACCAATCTCAGATCAAGTATATCTCAGGCTCCAGAGACTCCTTTTCTGACCATTCTACATAGATCCCTCTCTCCCTATCTCCAACTTCATTTCCTTTACAAC